AGAAGCAATCAATTGTTGGATGCAATTTTAATTCCTTATCCATTAACCTGAAAGCCTTTAAGAATGACCTTTTTAGTGGTAGATACATGTCAGGTAGTTTTTCATTTTCCTGAACCTCCAATGGCTCACACCATTCATCATCGATGCTTGGTGATGCAGTTTCCTCAATATTAGAGTTTCCATTTGCATTTTCAGTCATACTGAGATTGCTCAGCTCACTGTTTGAATTAGCTTTCCACTGAGTACATAGTATAAGAGGAAGAGAATCTCGAACTTTCTTCGCAACCATGTGACCAAATGGACCGTGGCCATCAAATACCCCACAAAATATTGTATCATTTCTTGTACGGAAATTCTGTAGCACAAACATAGGAACCAAATCAGTACGAACTAATTCAAACCAATGACAAGAGAAATGGAAAATATGTCATATAAGGGAACAACCTTTCAAAATTCTTGCAATTTGACTATACTAATTCATTGACGTACGGAATTCAACATTATGGTGACAAACATCATCATTCTGTAAACCTAACAAATTCCAAGGCTTGAATAAAATTAAAATTAGTAGTACTATATCGATTCAGGTATAGTAGTTGGCCTGAATACGTTCTGCAAGTGCTGTTTTTTTTTTCTTTTGATTCAGGTCTCCCAACCCTTGAAATGTCAGTTAGCCATACCCTAACCAAATCACACAGGGATGGCAGGATGAAGAAGGGGCCTTGCAGCACAAAAAGTAATACCAGACTAACTAAAAAAATGTAAATCTGCAACAAAGTTCAGTGTGCCAACATGCAGGGCATTTGTACCGTGATTCCTCACAAGGATCATTCCAAAATCATACTAAGGTACTGAATTAGCCATCTATGACCTGAAGTGTGAACATGGGCAGATAGATAACTAAAAAATAATAATCTAAAAATAGACTTATGTAGCTCACAATTCAAGTCAACCTGATTGAAGCACCAACATGATCCATATTTATCAATCCCCATTTCCATTAAAACCCTCTACTACACAAATCATCCTGTCCAAAACCAAATACATTTGCCAAATGGGTTTTTCCAAGTAAGCTGCAAAAACATGCATTTTGTCCCTACAAATGTAATAAGACAATTCACAAGTACAGAAACAGTAGTAAGGATTGCTGAAATGGGGTTTTGATAAGCAATCAAAGTTAGAAACTTTCAGTATGAGTAGGTGAAGACAAACCTCCCAGACAAGCATGGCGTCTTGATTGGTCCCTTTCTTTCCTTGCTGAGTATACAAGCAGGCAACTTTGCTACCTCCATTGGCGATCAATCTACCCGGAATATCAATCTCATGACCCAAATCTTTACAACCAACTTGGTCACCTCCTGTCTTCTTTTTCTTCCACCTTTTGGAGCTATTCTTGGTCTTTGGAGAAGCATCATCAGCCGAGTCTACTGTGCTCAGCTCCACCGTATCAATCCTCTTTCCCATGCCTTTGGACGTAGAACAACAAGAACCCATTTGATATTCGATACTATTTCGATACTTTACCAAAATCCCAACTTGCCAAATCGGATCCACAGATTCTTATGATGTGGGTTTTGTTTGTCTCACAGATTCAATTCAAACAGGTATAAGGCCACTGTAGGGAGATGAGTATTTGAGTATTTGAGTAGGTACAAAACTTTGGCACAGAGTCACAGACCCAGACTATTTAATAACCAACACGAATAAGAATAAAAATAATTTTAATAATTATAATTAAAATGAAAAAAGCTTCATGACATTTGAACACAGTGACCTATTTTGCAAGAGTTTGTTGACCTTCTTCAACCTTCATTCACCTTCTTTCTCTTCTTATTCAAAATGGGTTCTTTTTCATTTCTTTAATTTCCACCTTTGGAAATATCAAAGTTAAGTAAATAAATAAATAAAAACCATAAAATAAAGTTGTGCATAAATATTCATCTACTACCACCTCTGGTCCATTGCATAACATTTAATAATCGGTTGCATCATGTGACAAGCACGAGAAAGACACTATTAATTGCTATTACCCCACTGCCTTAAATTTTAAATTATAAAATTAAAAATTAGAAGAAAAAAATAAGATTTTTAAAAAAATTATAATTAAAAAAACCCACTTTTGCAACATCAAATGCTCAAGTCTCACAGCTAAGCTTTCTAAAGTGAATAATTTAGGGTTTAGTTTTGGATCCAACATTGACATCGTCAAGTCCGTCCACAACCGAAAGAGTTTACTCTCTTCCTTCATGGACTGTCTAATCTGTTGGGGCAGTGAGGGAAATATGACACACTTATTGTTTCCTTGACATGGTTTTGTTTTGTGCTCTCCTTGGTGTTATTTGCTAAGAACAAATAAATGGTTTTGATTTGAATATGAAAGCCTTCGTGCCTTTGTTTCTCCGAGGTGGCATATTCTATATAAATCTTGGGTTAAAGCTCTATCAAACAAGCACCAAGCACACCACATAGAATTCCATATGATACTCCAACTACAGTTGGATCAATAATTTTTCATGTTTTCTCTCAGTTCTAACGATGTTTCAAAGATGAGGTACAAACCAATTACAACTTTTGAATATGTCTCCCCCTTCCCCCCAATAGAACACTTGTAGCCTTAAAATAGTGGTTTTGGTTGCATCTAAATCTAATATAAGGTGGTGTTTGATTGTTGGAATGGAATGAGAATTGTATAAGGTGATGTTTGATTGTTGGAATGGAATGAGAATGCAATCAATTCCATTTGGTTGGTTGAAATTGAGAATTAGTTGAAGAATCAATGCTTAATTCCATTTCACTTGGGTTAACCATCATGATAGAATCAAATATCCAAGAATTCGGATTCTAGGATGTGGGTGTTGGGTGTGTAAGTTGGCATTTTAGTCTTAAGTCTCAATCATGAGTCTGGAATTCTTGATCCATAAGATTCGAAGTCATTAATTGAGATCTTGGATTTCTCATCCAAGGTCCTAAGTATTTGATTTAGAGTTCTTGATATGATTTTTTAAATTTAGAGTTCAATGCCTTAGAGAAATAGTGGGACATAAATCACTAATAAGATCAATTCTTTGATTAAAAAAATAATACTAATAAGATCAATTAACGAAAATAGAGTATTGATCCTATTTTTTTCCTTTTACACTGGTTTCATTATACTATGATTTACTTTTTGCTTACTCAATTATCAAAAATACAAACAGAAGAGGAAGAATTGCAAGTAAATAAAATGGGAGTGTGAGAAGCGCCATTAACTAAAAAATCTAATTCAGAAGAAAATTAAATAATACAGAAAATGATAAATAAAAAAATCCTTCATACAAGACAAAATGATAAAATGGTTCAATCCCTCCAAAATTGGACAAATTAGTCCAGTCACTATCCGTCAATGACATGAAATAACTGTTATATCACTATTGGACAATGACCCGAGAGTTGTTCAATGTCACTCGCTGTGATTGACATAAGAGTTCTTTCATATCACTAAGAGCAAGTCCACCCCAAAAGGCTAAGGCAAGGCAAGGGCTGCCACTATTCACATGAATAGTGGCAGCCTTGCCTTTTTTGGTTCCACCCTAAAAGTCTAGGGCAAGGGTAAGAAAAAAAAAGATTATGCAACAAAATATAAACAATTTAGAAATGTAAGAAATAAAATGATTATGCAAGAAAAAAAAAATATGGAAGAAAATATTAAAAATTTTAGAAATGCAAGAAAAAAAAAATTACAATTTATAAATATTTACAATATACAAATATTGGAAGGAGAAGAGTTTGTATGAGGATTTGGTGTAGAAAGAGAATAAAATTGTTATGTATTTATAGGGAAAACATCCATAATTTTTTGGTATTTAAAAAAAAAATGAAAATTTTTTGGGTTTTTTTCACTCGCTGACGTCAGCGCCTTCGGGCTGCAGCCCAGGCAGAATTTGCCCGTGGGCTTGCCAGGGTTGGTGGGACCCATGGATTGCCCGAGCTCCTACTCGTGCGCTGGAGGGCTTTTGGGCTCACAAGGGGGGCTTTTGCTCGGTTTGCTCCAAGCGGTGGACATGCTCTAATAGTGACAGGACTGGTTTGTCTAATTTTTGAGGGGCCAAACTATTTTGTCTTTATCCCATCCTATTTGTCCTTAGAGCATCCACAATCATGCTCTCTATTTTTTAGTTAAATTTTAGCTAAAAACATATAAAAGTTATTTTAGGAGCTCTCTATAAATTTTAAACTCCAATCATGCTCTCTAGTTTAGGAGTCATAAATGCTATAACTCTTTTTTAATTGGTCCATCTCTATTAAAAAAATAAAAAATAGTTAGCATTAAATAAAGGTTTGAAATACTTATTAAATAAGGCAGCATTAAATTATAGGGAGCCACTAGGAGTACTTTCTCTCTTCTCAGATTTAGGAGCTCCTAGAGGACTCCCTATTTTAGGAGGTGGATAGGGAGCATGGTTGGAGTTGCATTTTTACAATTCCTCCCTAAAATTTGTCTAAGGAGGTGGTTTAGGGAGCCCATTGTGGTAAATAGTCAGAATGTGCTCAACTGCATTAGCATATGCAGTACCAGCAGTTACACTGGCATTCTGCTGCTAGTGGAAGTAGAAAGTAACTCACTATATAAGACAAAATCAATTCAAAGTAACTAGCACAGTAATTCGAGTAATAAAAAATAAATCAAACTTTAATTTAGATACGACAAAAAAATTAAATCATGCTCTCGACAACCACACAGTATACCCATACAACAAAAATATAAAAATAACCTTAATTTATAATCAAAGATGCCCTACCACATGACACATGTATATGGTAAAATCCCTAAATAATATTGGGTTAAAAATAAAAACAAAACAAAAAGACGAGAATAACCGTTATTTTTGGTGGAAAAGAACGACGGTTAGATAACTTTAGATTCGCGCCTTTTCCGACGCGTGTCAAAGGAAAAGTGGATAAACGTTATCTAACGGTTTATTTTATCCATAACAAACGCCGTTTAAAACTCACTGCCTGAGCTCAGTGGTGGCATAAGAAGTCAAAACTAGGTCTTAATCCTTAAGACAGGTCCATCTCTATCTGAAAGCCGAAACTGCAGCTGCCCTGCCCCCTCAGGTAATTGTCCTTCTCACACCACCTCCTGCTCCTTCTTCAACCTTTTGCTAGCTTACCAAGTCTTATCTGAAACTTATATGGTTGAAATAAATCAATGATTTCTAAAAAAATTTCTTTTCTTTTTTCATTTATCAAAGATTGATCTTTGGTGCTTGTGCTTGATTTTCATTTTTTTTCTTCTTTTTTTTTTTGGATTTTGGGTTCTAAAGTTAGTGATTCATATATGACTTTATCTGATCGAATCAAGTGTTATTTGGTTGCTGTGATCCCATATCGGCTGAGTATGTTAGTAACTTAGCAGTGATTACATGAGCTGCTGGACATTCTTTCTTTGCAAGCTGATTTTAGAAGGGAAAGTTCCATCTGTGGATTTATATAATCAATACTAATTTAATGGAAGAGAGGAATTTTAGGACATGTTTTTATCAGTGTGTCAAAAATTGTTTCAGAAGATTTTGACTTTTTCTAGTTTTGCATTCACTTTTTATTAAAAGTCTTGATTGCATTGGACGACTTTGGTTGATCACATGGATTTAGAAATCAAGCTTACTTAACTTGAGATTGGCTGGCTACACTCTTGGAACTTTAAAGTGCTTAATGATTAGTAGATTTGGGAATTGCTTATTTTGGTTTGGTATATGCTTGCTAGACCCAATTCCATGAGACATTTTTTTGTAGGGTAATTGGCTTCCAAGAAATTACCTTATGCTGATTTACTTTCCTTCTTTATTTTTATCAGTTTTGTAGCTTTATCGTAGTGCAATGTGTTTATGTAGGAATCCAAAACCTAGAAAGTACGACCAATTGATCAACAAAACCAACCCAAATTGGAAAGCTATACTGATTGAGACTAAATAGAAGGACTACAAATTAAATGGAGTCAATAGCATAATATCACCCTAGCATATGCATGAAAGGCTTATTACTTAATCCATTATGAAGGAAAATATAACCTATCTCTTCAGACAGGTAAAATGCAAGGAGCATTTAAAGCTTTTTCATCACATGGAAACGTTGTGAAGAATGGAGTTTTGCGACACATCCGTCTTGTGAATCCCCTAATTCAGCCTGTTGCGTTTTCACGCTTTGAGTCTGCTACGCCTGCTCGCATAGAAGAGCATGGTTTTGAAAGCACCAGAATTGCAGACATCTTGAAGGGGAAAGGTAAAGGTGCTGACGGTTCCTGGCTCTGGTGCACTACAGATGACTCTGTTTATGATGCTGTTAAGTCGGTAAGCATATTTGAGCTTGATGAAAATTCATTTAATTGCAATGATTTGATAAGCTTTGGCATGGAGGATTTATGTTATGACTCGTAACTAATCAGTCATTTCCTTTTCAGATGACCCAGCACAACGTTGGAGCCTTGGTGGTTGTGAAACCTGGAGAGCAAAATTCTATCGCAGGAATCATAACAGAGAGAGGTACTTTTATATTAAGGCTTCTGTGGCTCATCTACTGGATGCATAAGACATTTCTATGCCTGTTTTGACTCTATAATTGTTTCCTGAGAATATTTTAGGCAATAATGATTGTAGAGCACTTTGATTGTAGATCACTTAGTCTTGAGCTTGACCATAGAAACAAATTCATAAGTTAATAAGGTTGAAGAAGAAGCATTGAGTAGGATGTATGAACTCATATATGCACTTCTTGCAGAAAAATAAGCTAAAATAGAGTAGTAATTTAGTGAGCACCTATAGGAAACCACATCAGAAGAAAATAACAGTTGGGCAACCACGAGGTAAAGTTTGAAGAACAATCACTTTGTATGGTTTTCATGGACCTTGATTAGAAGATGATTTTCATTTTAAATTCAATTTAATAGCTGACCTGATATATTTAGAACAATTGCTGCTCAAAAGCAACTTTAAGAAATAAAAAAAAAAGGTTTGCTAGGAGTAAAGAGGTTTGTATGATCAAAAGAATCTTTCTTGAATGATAGGTCATAATTCATTGCCAAATTAGAAACGTTTTCGAATTCTCAGTCACAATTGAGTTCCTCACAATTAACTGTGTTTTCTGCTTTGGTGGATAATTTGTAGATTATCTCAGGAAGATCATAGTGCAGGGAAGATCATCCAAGTCAACAAAGGTCGGGGATATTATGACTGAGGAGGTATGACTTGTTAATGTTACATCCTCTCTTCACAGGAGACTTTGTGCTCACTACGATTTACATTTGTTAAAGTTCTATTACATTTCTCTTCATGAATGCTGAACAACTTCTGATGGAGAATGCCAAAACGTGGTGCTGCAGAACAAGCTTATCACTGTCACCCCTGACACCAAAGTTCTACGGGCAATGCAACTGATGACAGGTATTATCTTCTCCTTTGTTATTGGATTTTCTAACTTGCCACTCTTTCTCTATTATATTTTTGAAAGCAAGGAAGTTAATGTAAGCTTGACATTCATGTGTTTCATGGGTAGATAACCGAATCAGGCACATTCCAGTAATAGATGACAGGGGAATGATTGGAATGGTGTCCATTGGCGATGTGGTTCGTGCTGTGGTGAGTGAGCACCGGGAGGAGCTAGACCGCTTGAATGCTTATATTCAAGGAGGTTACTAGATGATGATGACGAAGACGATGAGATGCTGTTTAGTTGACATCCCGGAATGACCAACAGTAATAAACCTGAATGCTTGTATATATGGTGTGTTGTTTGTGCATCTCCGGTTGTTTGGTTCTGTATTTCCCAATGTCTAATTACAAACTTGTGGACTATCAAGTGCTTAATAATTAGCAATGTTGTGTTTGCTAAAATCTTCTTTCTATGGTGAATTTTCACACACACATGCATACCATTGACCCTTTATGTTATACATGCGTAGAAACCATAATATCAAATGGCTTAGGGCCATTGTTATGTAGAGTAATTCTATAGTGAGGGTCTTATCTATGGTCCTTAGGTGAGGTCTTATCTCTTAACTGTTGGATCAGACTAATCAATTTAATCCAATGGCTAATCAATTTGATCCAATGGTTAAGAGATATGACCTCACCTCAGGGTCATATATAACACCCTCACTAAAGAGATATGACCTCACCAAAGGGCCATATATAACACCCTAACTATAAAATTCTTGTTGTAATGTAAGCTTCCTTTGCTTTTGGGTCTTGGCCTATTTTTCCATATGAGACACAAGTAGAGTTGGTCTTAGCTTGTGCAGGGTTGCACAATTTTCTCCACAAGGAGTGTCGTTCTGATGAATTTCCTATTGAAGAAAACAACGAGCATTTAGCATCGTCATTATCACCAGAAACTGAGGGAAATAATTATGACCAAGTTTTTCAAACCCAATAACAACAACGTGAGAATGCTAACCAATGGAGGGTTGGGATATCTTCAGATATGTGGAGAGATGCTATGAATGACGGGAGTCAAAAGATGAGCAATGAAGCAAATACTTATTTGTTTTTATGCATTTAGAATTATAGTTTACTTATCATTTTTTTTGTCATGAAATTACTTTTATGTTTTTACTTTTGCACATTTTTCATAAACATGCAGACATAAATCCTTATTTGGTTGCACATTTGAACAAATTAGATGCCTTTTTTTTTTTCTTTGGATGTATTGATTTTGAAGTTCTTTACAAAATGTTTTTGTAAAGATACTTTTCTCTTTCGAAAATCTAGAAAAACGATAAACAGCCCCAAAAAAAGAAAAATATATATTTTAGAACTCTAATCAACTCTTTAAAAATCTACGATAAAACTCTAACAAACACTATCAAAATCAATCTAGGAATTCAATCAAACTCTATGTGGAGTTGATAGAAATCAATTGAACTACATTGAACTCTATAACTCCATTTAACTATTTAAAATCTTAATTGCATACACCCCCTTAGTTTATTTAAAACATGAGGAAAAGAAGAATCCAAACATCATTTGCCTTGAGTATAATTTTCATTAGAACTTGAAAGATGTTACTTCTTTTTCCAATGTTGAAAGATGTTCAAATTCGAATTTTCCCTCATTGATCACAAAAAAACGGAAGAAACGCATTGAAGAGTTTTTTAGTATTGTCATGTAAAAAAAGAAGTTGAAGGTGGATTGATGGAATTAAAATAAATAAGACGTTAAATAACTTTTATTTTGGGTAAATAACATGAACTTTCTCCTCGATGCTCATTGGTCAAGAGACAACGTATTTCTTCCTTTTGTTTTGATGAAATAGGTCAAAGACAATAATGTCAATAAATGTAATAATAAAACTCCCCCACAACGACGTTGAACTTTAAAACGCGTCATCTGGCTTCTCAACTGTCCTTATTATGCACAGACCCACATCGGACGGACGTGGACAACCAAAGGGGAAAGCCCATTGCTTTCCATTTTCTTATACTTTTTTAGAACTTTTTATTTAACTAATTAATTCATTTTTATATGCTTCAAGAATCAAAACCCACCACAGGCAACGAAACCGTACAAAATAGAAACACTGAACAAAATTTTACCTTACGGAGAAATTACAGACACAACCAAACCAACCCAATATCCGCAGAGCTCACAGCTCTTCGCAGCACTCAAAGACTTCAGCTTTTCTCTGGTACCCTTCAATTCTTAGTCCAAGAATAATACATGGCTTTTTATTATTATTATTATTATTTTTTGGTGTGGCCTTTGTTTGACTGGTTGGTCCTTCCTCTTGATTTCTATCTGTAAGAAGCAGAAGAAGACGACTTTGCTGCTGCTAATTGCTAACTGAGCTTCTTTAGCCTTTGAATTGAAATTAATGTAAGCTTTTTTTTAAAGGGTTATTATTATTTTATTATTTTTGTTTTTAATTCTTTAAAAGTTGAAAGCTTTAGAGTTGTTATCAAGAACTAGGAGACCACCTGCATTTTTGTTGGGTATGTGAAAGTGGTTTTGATCTCAACTCAGCTCAACTCATCTTCATGTTTGGCAGAGTGTAAGTGGATAATCCAACAAGGCAGTATGGTGGGATTTCCTTTTCCCCTTGGTTTAATATCCTCCCTCACAGGCTATGCCAGCCTTAGCGAAGAATTTCATTGGCTGGCATCTGCCTCTATTGGCATCATTCTCTGCAATATTGTAAGTACCAATCTCTGAGTTAGTGTTTACTGCTGGTATGAAACTTTTCTTTCTTTAAACCCTTTGGTTAACAGTCGCTGGAACATGCTCCCAAATTCAAAAGGGAACTGATATCTGGCTTTAATTTGTCTATGATGACCCTTCAAATCCATTTGCATTTAATTTTCTGACCATATTCCTAGATTCGGCTTATGTTAAAATATAGCAAAAGCTTCAATGAGCATTTCAGGGAGAATTTCGTAGTGTCGTTGTTTTTGATGTTCAAAGTAAAGTTTGGTCTCTTTTCTTTAAGGATTAAAGAAGAAATCATGATTCAAGAGCATGCATTTAGATACATGTAATGTAGTAGACCCGGCTGCCCACTATAGTTTCAAAATGTGGAATGGGAAATAAAAATAAAAACAAGTTTTCGATGATTCTTTTGGACAAGTCTTAATGTGAGTGTTGTATGAGAGGATAGATTAGATCCGGTTGTTATGGTTTGATTGCTCCAACCACTAGGTTCTTTTCCTAAGATTTTTTATTAAGTAAGTGTAGTTATTTTGATCTTTTATGTGCAATGTATTCTTCTTCTTCTCTTTTCTCCGGATTTGGATTTTGTTTATCTTGAACGAAAAGAAGAATGCATCTTATGACTTTTGACATTTTAATATCATTTTTTTATTTTCACTAAAATTAAACTTCAATTTCAAAAATAATTTTCCAAAATAATATTTCCTTATTTTTTTCTTAATTTTCCATTTGATGAAATTTCTCTCTTGAAGGTTTACAGATTAACACGTCTTATCAGCCTTCTTAGCTTCGAGGGATATCACAAACTGAGCAAAGCACAAAGAGTTGAATGGAACAACCGGTGAATATCTTTTGCATGTCACATATTTACATCTGCCTAGATTTCACCACATTGCACTTGTTTTTCTTCAAAAACACAAGTTTTGATGCCTTTTCTTTCGTTTTTCCTCCATGTACAGGGGGTTCTCAACTGTTCATGCTATTGCTGTAGCATTTTCATCTTTTTACCTCTTACTGTTGTCCAATACTTTTCATGAGGATCATCGTGATGAGCTAATCATTAGTAGAAGATCTACTTTGTCAGATACAACATTAGGGGTAAGCAGATGCAGAAAGAAACATTCATTCATGGCTTAATTTCTATAATTTGTTGATGTGCATCCAAATTTTAGGTGTCTATGCTTATGAATCTTTAATAGATTGGATGTGCTGCAACATGTCATTTATACAAAATTACATTTTGTATCTGCGACCGACTGTCTACCCATTTCAGCCTTGTGTTGGTTTTCTTTGCTTCCTTTTTAAACCTAATTTGATTTTTTTTCCTTTTTTTTATTTGGTGTGACTGAAAACCGAATTCGATTACTTTGATTTGTTTTCTTTGAGCTAAATTAACTTCTAATTAATTTTTTCACTAATGCAGAAAAATTACATTTTACTTTGTCTACGCATGTTTGTGCACATGGGTTAGGCAGCTCAAGATTAACATCTTATGTCGATTATATCTGCTTGGTTGGTTGACCAAAATTAAACCTAAATACAATCAGGCCAACAATGAACCTGTTACTGGAAGATTGGTTTGAGTTGAGTTTTCAGGTGGTGCCAAAACTTGCAGTCCCTATTGTTCATGTTGAATCTTCATTGCTATATGCATGACGATAGTTTCCTCAAACCATAAGTGACTCATATGTATCCCTATGAAGAGGACTAATCATATTATGGAAGTAATACGAGGCTCTTGTTTCTTCATTTTCTTTTCCCCGTTTATTTTGAGATTAGATCCAAAATTAAGGTAATTTACAATTTTGTTGGATGTGAGATAGTGTAACACACATTGTGATATTCTCGTATTGTTGTAACTGAATTTTTTCTTCTTCTATATTTGGGTACTTTTTGCAGATCTCCATTGGATATTTTCTGGCAGACTTGGGAATGATATTTTGGCATTTTCCTGCTTTAGGTGGACTGGAGTATGTAAGTACATATGCGGAAGGATAATGCCTGCTTGATATGCATAATAATAATCTCTGCGCCATTATCTCTTATAGGGCATTTCCCTCAAACCTTGAACAATATTTCTTGCCCCAAACTTCATATGGTGAAGTTGGGAGAAAATTGCATTTTGATGCATCAGTTGAATAAGTATCATGATTTGATCAATTTTTGGAGATTAGTTATTTTACCTATCAAATTTTAATATGCAAGGCAAAGTCCATATAAACTGGTACCATTACGTTCATCTAATTCATCTTGTTTAGGTTTTGCACCATGCACTATCTATGTTCTCAATCTTTCTCTCCCTTGTAAGTGGAAAAGGGCAGATTTACATACTAATGGTTCTGTTCTCTGAGAGCACAACTCCTTTCGTGAACTTGAGATGGTAAGTTTAACATTGAGATATCCCTAAATTCTCTTGTTCTTGGTTGTCAATATTGGATAATTTATGTAATTGCATACTCAGGTACTTGGATGTTGCTGGTAAGAAGAACTCTAATCTGTATGTCATCAATGGTGTAGCATTGTTCCTGGGGTGGCTGGTAATGTCTAACTTAAATATCGGTTCCTTTTAGCTGTCATGCATTGTGATGAATACATATATTCATAATTTACTTCATTGCTTCAACTAAACATAATTTATTATGTCTAACACAATCGACTTCCTTCGATGCATGCCATTCAGGTTGCAAGGATTCTTTTGTTCATTTACTTTTTCATCCACATGTTTATCCATTTTGATCAAGTGAGTTATTGCTGTATAGTCCTCCTATAAAAAGAAAGAGCTAGTTATGGAAAACAAAAGCTCTGTACTTATTATCTCTGAATTGTTTCAGGTCAAGACGGTTTTCCCTTTGGGCTTTTACAGCTTGCTCCTGGTGCCTCCTGTGTTAGCAGTAATGAATCTCGTTTGGTTTTATAAGATTGTTAAAGGTTTAATTAAAACTGTTTCGAAGGCCACTCACAGTCAGTGATCCTACTCTCTCTTGAAGATGGGAACTTGACTTACCCAAATGTACATTATAGTCCCTAGTGTCTTTTTCCCATTATGTTTCTTGATTGAATTTGATAGATGAATAGAAAAACTAATACATGTGGATAAATATGATTATCTTTTCAGGGGTTTCATTTGTGTGATATTTGATTTTGTACATACACTTCTATCACAACATTCATTGGATTTGCAAGATTGGTTTTCACATTTTCAATGAAACATGACCCTGACATGATGTCAAAGAACAAAAGGGGATGCATGGATATGGATGTTTAAGAGAATTGATAAAGTCACGATGTTGAAAGTATGATCAGCCAACTTTGATGACATTGAAGGCTTTCATCTTGCATGGGCTTGAAATGTGGTTTCCCCTGAAATACTCATTCAAATACCAGAAGTAGTGAGTGCCAAGTCAATGGTGCTCAAACATCGTTCCCCTAGTGCATAAAAAGACAACTATTTGATTATATTTGTAAATAAAGGAACACTTTTGGAGGTTCCATTATAATTTATATGCAAGTGGGGCTGATCAAATCTTTTATAAAAGAAGGGTAAGATTTAAGTGGAATTTATAAGCAAGGGGATCTCTATCTCAATTATTATTAACTATTACTTTCCCTTATTTTTTAACAAGCGATTGTTTAAATTATTATAAATTAAGAAGGCGGGTTTACTGTCCTCACCAATTGACTCAACACACATATGCATTTTTTCTTTTTCTGTCAATGAGAAAATAATGAAACTAAAAGAATTAATATTGACCAACTGACTTGACTCACGTTTGTACTTTCCTTTTTCTTAGATGATAAAATAATGAAATTGAAAGAGTTAGTATTATTAAGAAAGTTCTGGCTGAGAAAGAAAAAGAAAGTGTTAAGAAAAGAAGAGTTTTCCTATAGATTTGGAAAAGGTAAATGGTTTTCCCATTCACCTTTTATCCACCTATTTTCTTTTTTATTTAGAAAATTGGAGTATAAGTGGATAAAAAGGGAGTGGGAAAATCAGTCCTCTTTTGAAAAAAATAAAACTTATATGATCGAAAACGGTAAGTCATGTCATGTAAGAAAGGGCAAGTCGGTTTGTTGCAAGCGCCGCGTAATAAGAAGAGAAGGAAGGGGTGATAAAAGCAGAGCCCACCACTCACAAAACCCAAAACCCAAACCCAGGAAAGAAAAAAAAAGGAGAAACTTCTTGGTCGGTGCACTGTGCACATAAGATAAAGCTTCCAACTTTCCATCTATCCAAATCCGAATCCCAATACATCTTCCTATACGATTTGGGTCAGTTAAAGTCAAAGTTTCAGTGTGTTTTGTGTGTAATTTGTGCGTGAGAGGCCGAGGCTGTTAGTTGGAACGTTGAACCAGAGAGAGAGAGAGAGAGAGAGAGAGCCCATATTGGTTGCTATATTTATTGACAGACCAACGAAAACAAAAAACATAAAAGCAAGACCCAATTTTTTTGAGGTTTTTTCTTTGTAAGGGGAAAACATATGGACCAACTGTTTTGGCGGTCCGTTTTTGCTTCCTTGCCTTGTAAACTGCAGTGTTTTTGCCTTACTTTACTCGCCTACCCTCTTATTTATTCAACTATCCCCATGGCTTGTTTTAACTAAAGATTGTTTGTCTTTCCTTCTTTGTTTTCAGACCACTCAAACTCCAAATCGGAGATCGTGAAAATCCCAAAACCAATTGATGAATTGGTAGCCATAAATTGGGAAATATGCAATAGGCAATAGGGTAATAGGCGATATATATACATATATATAGCTGTGAGTTGACAAACAGGTGAGTGAAAGCTTAAATCTTTGGCCAGAATGTGGAGATGGTGGAGAAGCAGTGGTATGGTGATGAAGCAAGTGGTTGGTAGCAATCACCTTGGGAAGCCCAACAGCCCCTACCCATGTATTGGGCAGGTGTTTGGATTAAAGGGTTTTGCAAAACAAGAATGTGGGTTGTTGACAAATCCGGCAATATCTTCATCATCACTTATACCCAGAAGGACACTGTCATCTTCTGATGATTTCAATGGAGGAGAGATCAACAGAGGAGGAGGAGGAGGAGGAGGAGAGACCATATCTTTTGCAGAGGCCAAGAGGCTGATGAGGCTTGTCAATGTGGAGGCTTTGAAGATGAGGCTTGGTGCTGAAGGAAAAGAGGCCATACCATATTCTGATCTTATTGAAGCCTGTCAAAGCATTGGGGTTGCCAGATCTCCAGAGGAGGCTGCAGCTTTTGCTCGAGTGCTTGATGAGGCTGGTGTAATCCTTCTCTTTCGGGACAAGGTCCTCCTTCATCCTAATAGGGTATGCCTCCTCCAACTAGTTCTAATTTATAGCTTAAACGAAATTTCACTTTCAACTTATGTCATATTATGCTTTTCTCATACGCCCTTTTAGTTTTAATTTAAGAACACTGAGTGATGCCTTCGCCTCTTGGAAAAAGGGTTTGGGGCACGTTTATCCGTATTTGCATTGGTTGGCCCTCTGGCTGGCCCCTCTTCAATTCTTTTCCCCATTATTCCCTTGACCTTTTCGGTTTTTTCGTTGATGCTTTATATTTTAAAGCTGTGATAACGGGATTATCAAGTGCACAGAGGATCACATGTTGGGTCTTTATCTCTTTAGACCTACAAATTGAAGGAAAAGGAAACTAAATTAGAATTATTTTCAAAGATGAAAACTTTATAAATTCAATACCACCAAGCGTAGGAGGAGATGCACCAGGTTTTATGTTAATTAACAACCCTGTTATGTCTTAGTATCCCATCAAAAAGCTCAAATAAATCTCTGACTATAAAGAGGTTCCTCTGGTTTCCCCCTGTGCTTCGGAATTTGGGCAGATCCCAGCAACTTGTCTTCGTGTGCTTCTTGCTCAGTTTTTATGTATTCACCAAACGCAACATAGTATTTTGATAATTCTTTTGGGGTTCAATCTATGTGCTTTTAGCTTCTATTGTTCCACGTCTGTGATTGTGATTTTGAATTTTTACATTAGTACTTTGGCAGTTTTATGTGGTGTTTAGACTTCTCATCTTTCAAGTCTAATGCAGAGATTCCAATACCAATTACAGGATCCATTCTGTTTGGTTTTTTGTGGATTTAGGAAGAGTAATTTGGTTTTGGATATGGATAAGTAATATTCCACAATATTATGATTAGTGCTGGCATTGTCCTTTTGTATTCATCCCTGCATCATTCTGGTATCTTTACTGACCTCATTTAGTTCATTGGTCTAGCCACTGACACATTTTGTTGCTGGAAAGGCATTTTACCTTCTATGGAAAATCGACAAAAAAAAAACCTTCTATGGAAAATAATTTAACAAAATTTACTTACTCTACTAGCTACTTTACTTCTGTACTTCACCATCAATGCTTGCTCTAATCACTTCCAATTCGATAATTAGATGAATGCAAGTCCATTTATCCATTTTTCGTTGTTCTTCTCCTCATATTAAGGGTTCCATATGATTTCAAATTGCTTAAGAAAATCCTTCCTGCTGGACGTAATGAAGAAGATTTTGAAGGGTCTTGGTTGAACTGCTTGGGTACTTTCCAAGGCCCAAGTGTTTGCATTTGAATGGAGGTGCATAGCCATGCACCTATGGCTAGGTATCCAAAATTTTTACATCTAACTAGTTCTATGTTCTTGACATCATTACAGAGTTGAACGCCGTGTGGTTGCAAATTATTTGTTAAGTTTGTTTGTCATCTGTGCTTTGGTGCTGGCTGCTGGTTCCGCTATAACTTGTACCAGCCAAATGCAATATGCAACCTTAATTTATTGGTTTTCCCTGTTTTCTTACGTTTATGTCCATGTTGTGGTCTAGTGTTTTAAAAAGATGAGAATTAAGAATTTGAGCTAGTCATGAGAGTTTTCTTAAATACAAATGTATATTTTCGAAGGCCTTACGTTATGTTGACTCATGCTGCTCCATTTCATTCCTAAATGTTCAGGTTGTGGAGCTGGTTCAAAGAGCAGTACCCCTTGCCCTGACTCCTGAAGATGACCCCATGTGGGAGGAGCTAAAGGTGCTGCAGGAGAAGAAGGAAGAAATTGATGTGCAGGCACATAAGCAGGTTCGGCGCATTCTCTGGTCCGGTCTGGTGCTAGTTGTGGCACAGCTCGGGCTCTTTTTCAGGCTAACATATTGGGACTTCTCGTGGGATGTAGTGGAACCACTTGCATATTTCACAACAACAACTTGCATAGGCATAGGCTATGCCTACTTCTTGATCACTTCAAGAGATCCGACTTACCAAGATCTGATGAAGAGGCTTTTTCTCAGGAGGCAGAGGAAACTCATCAAGAGGCATAATTTTGATGTTGAAAGATTCAAAGCGATACAGAAAAAATGCGGCACACCTCTACATGCAAGTGCCTCGATTAAGAATCGGGTAGGCATGGAAGTGGAGCTGGACGATGCTTTACATAGGGAGTAACATTTTCCATTTTGATTTTTTTGGCGGTGGTTGGGAAAAAACGCAGGAGGTTATTAACACTTCTGTTGGTTACAATCTGGCCTCTCCTGTTTTTATGTAGGTAGGGCCCATAATTTTTGAATTTAACCCGTTGTTTCTGACCTATCTTTCAATTTTTTGGCACTATACTTAATGTCATGCAGCTTCTGCTCTAACTAGGAAGAATGTAATGGATACTGCTTTGCTTAACTAGTTGCATCCACTTTGTTCTCGTATTGGTAAGAATGCACAATGCTGCCTGTATCAAATCCCGTGTTGCTCATTACTTTCCATCATTATTTTTTTCCTTGCCTTGGGTAATATTATAGGGGATCACATTATGAACCACATCTTTGATACAAGTATGACCACTTGTACGGATACGGATCAGACGAGTTTAAGAGATGTGAAATGTGATTCAAACAGTTTACCCTTTTCTAACTTTAGATTGTGTTATTTTCATATAGAGTTCAAAATTCAGGTCTACTGAAAAGGGAAAGTAAGAACAGCAGCTGCTGAACATTGCAAATAAATTATAATCATATTGGCTCTCGCTATCAAGTAACCAAAACATGTTTCAAAGGACAAGCCCATTAAGCAATTTGACAACCTTAAAAACAAAGGAGAATTAGATGATCATATACATGTTGTTCTTTCTATATATCAGAAAGTCACCTTCAAGACAACCGAGTAGATCAATGACAGATTGCTCTTCAGATCCATTGAAGTGCTCCAAAATCTCGGAGAGAGTAACCTGCAAAGCATTCACGTTTTTGTTATTTAGTTTTTACATTGCCATGCTGTCAAAGAGTAAGGATAATAAATATTTTC